CCGGTTGATGAAGGAAGGGATCTTCAGTGTTGCACGTCAAGGGAGGGAAAGAAGGAAAAGCCACAGGTCAGGTGTGGGGCCTTCTTCAACAAGAGAAGCTTCCTAAAGGGAAAAGGGCTGGGACACATAAATAAATGTTACTCCCATATGCTGGACCTAGCTAGCTTGAATGCTTTTTAGACCATCAATTGGCGTGATGTAGAAAAATAAAAATTGCAGCAGTATATCCATCTGACTTTCCATTATCTGAGATTTTGGAAGTCTTCATCTGGTGGCCCTGTTGTTAGAAGGTTTCTGTGACAGTGACGACCCCTTGTTGAGAAGTCCATCTTCATCACCAGCTTGAAGCTCTAGAAGGTTTCTGTGACAGTGAAGACCCCGTAACGATTGTTGAGAAGTCCATCTTCATCACCAGCTTGAAGCTCTCAAAGGTACGTGACTGTCTTGTTTATTTCTACACAGACCACATGATCTGGTCACTAAAATGCATACATTTCCTATGCACTGCTGTTTTAAATCGTGGATGCTTTGGTGGTTAGATGAGGATTTGGCTCATCTTATTCAAGAGTGAATACAAATCCACGATAGCTTGCCGCTGAAGGATATATATCTCTTCTGGGGAGAGAAGGCTTTGCTTAAGTTCAAAACGGAAGAAAATAAAAATATGTCGCAAAATTGGTCCAGCCATATGTTTCTCTTTCCATCTAACCACCTCCTCCCTATACACACAACTGGCACAGCAGAGGAAGTGAGTGGGGAACAAATTGAAATCTGCACCAGCTTGGCTGAGCCATCTGATGAGCCCTCTCTGTGGAATACAGTATGGAGAACATCCCATTGGGACCAGCAGAGCGAAGGCAGGCACGATTTCTGCAGGGAACAGGTCGCTCACTCTCCAGAGAACCTAACTCTCCTTTTGCTTAGCAACCTTAAATTTTCTCCATGGAGCTTCAGGGTTCCTATAGTCATGAAGAGGTATGTGTGTCTTCATGAAATGGGTCAAGGATGTAGTCAGATGGAGAAGGATGTTGGAAGGCTGAAGGGCAGAGAGCTCCTGGGTACTGGATGGAGAGGACCAGCAACTCTGGTCCAGAGGAGAAAAGCAATGGGTACATCGGGAGAAGGTCGTCAGTGTCTCCCCAGCAATACAGGAGTGGACACCTGCTGGCCTCCTACCCTGTGACTCAGGTCATCAGTTGGTCGGTGGGGACCACAGCTACAGAAGTGGTGTTTCCTTGGAGAAAATAAGGTGGTCACAGGGGAAGAGAAGGCAGAAAGGGATTCAGAGCAAATGAGGAGGAGATTTCAAGGTTGAAAGTGTGTTGCAAAGCCTTGTGCATACATTGTACTCTGTAAGGTCATACGTGTTCACTAGCATGTCATCAGTCAAAAGTAAGGTGGTTGGGCCTGAAGACTAAGCCCCCGAGATCTCTCCGTGTGGCCACACAGTGTTCCCTCTGTATGTCACTGGGGTGGTTGTGAGATGGTGTCATCTGTTAATCGATCCGCATAACATAAGTTTGTTTCAAGATTCTTGCCCCATATCCCAGAAGTTCCTGTGAAAGAAACCCAGGTGATAATCTATGAAACCAACTTTCTTGGGGAAGAGTATACAAATATAGGCGATATAGATGAAAACAGTGTTCATTCTTCCTGGATCCTTTTCACATCTGGGGCTCTTGGGTACAGAGGAAATCACGGACCTTCCTTGACTTCTCTCAACCCTCATCTCCTACAGTCCCTTCTTAAAAGAGGACAGGGACATCTTCCCTGATCCACCAGCCTGCTTCATTTAGTGTTTCACGAACACTTATTGGTCAACAACCGAATGCTAAGTGCCGTGCCAAGGGCAAAGAGAACAAGGTGTTTCTCTCAGTAGTTGCCCAGATGTCTTCTTTGATGCATTCACCCCGGATCCCTTACTGAATATCAACCTTCCAGTTTATCCTGGTTTCCTCTCTAATAAATCAGCTTCACTAACTTATTTTTAACTCTTTATTTCTTGAGGGAATTTGTGTATCCATAGCTAACAGAGATTGCAAAGTCAACGGGTTCTTGTAACCTCTTCATGTTCAGTATAGCTCTTCTTAGGTCGTCAAGAAGCAAGGAAACCCTGGATTAGGAAGGGGATTTGGAAGTCTTGTGCGCCCTGCTCAGTCCTGATGCTTTTCTTCTCTCTATATAATTACAATACTGACATGAACTACCATATTTTCAATGTCCGCTATGCCAGTGGCAAAGCATTTTCCATACAATGCCCGGCTGATTCTCTTAACACGTTAAAGTGGATGATTTACTCTCCATTTTACAGATTAGAAAACTGAGACTCAAGAGCATTCTCTGGGTACCGAGTGGATTCAGGATTTGGACCTTTGGTTTTCTGACTCTAAAGTTTCAACACTTTTAATTTACTACACTGCACAGAAAATGCAGAGCAGTTATTGTGAAAACATATAAGTACATCACAAAATGCCACAGATATGAACTCTTGCAACTATTTTTAGATAACATAAGACTTATAACTGCAGATACTTAATAAAGTGATTTTCTTCTTTTTGGGGCCCCAGCTATGCTGAACTCCCTGCCACCCTATTAGCAGACGATGGCTTTTTCTGGATTAGAAACCAGTTGGTAGGTACTAGATGCTTTGTTACTTTGGGTTAATCATTATTTCTCTTCTCGTTCCTTCAATTTCCTGACTTGCAAAACTGGGAGGTGGGATCAGCCAGCGGGCTCTCGAAGTCTCCTCTGGCGATTCTCCGATGGAGACTGCTGCCCTTGAGCTTGAATGGTGCCCAACGGTGAAGACAACAGTACTTGAGTGGACAAACTTTGGTCTGGGAGTCAGAGACCTGAGGTCTCACGCTGACCGTGTGACCTTGCTCAAGTCACTCTCTGTCCTGGGCCTCAGCTCCCTCATGTGAGAGGAGTCGTGGTGATTAGATGACCTCTCAGGCCTTCCAACAGAAAAATTGTCACCTTTCATTTTCACAGGGAGCAAAGAGAAGCTGCCTCCTCATATTCCCAAACACTTTTTGTCAGCTGCTCAAACCAAGAGCAAGGTGCCTACTGTGAGGCTGTCTGATCGTCCCTGCTTCACTCAAACCATTAACCTCATGATAACGTTCTGGGGGCATCAGGTTATAACAAGGACATAAAAATTACAAGCTGCATTTGTCATTGACTTCACAGCCTTGAACGACCCTGCTGTCTCCTTAAGCAGATGGGAAGTAATCTCATGGCTGAAGCTTAGGGAAAGGAATTGTCTGGAAGGCCTTCTGCACAGAGGAAAAGAGCAAGCAAGGCCTGTCGCAGCAGGCAGTAGGCTGGTGTGACAATAAAGTAGGTGCAAAATGAAACACTAAAACACCCAATAAAAACCTAAGTGCTTCATCACCAATACTAATGAAAATATATGATTGTCTAATAAAACGCTCCATGCCGGCCTCTGTTATTAACACTCGTTACTGTTATCATCTCTTTCTCGGGAAGGGCGACCTTCTATCCCAAATGGCCCATGGCCCGAGGAATTCACTGTGGTGGGGGGAGGGGGGTGCGGGGGCGGGTAATGTTTAGCCAGAGCACCCCACAGGAGAACACAGTTGAGCTGGGATTCAACAGCAGCTGCCTGGTTCTAGGGGTGCTTCCTCAGGCAAAAGAAATAAGAGCAGTGGCTGGTGAGCCAGCTAGAGCAGGAAAATCAGAGGTGCAATCTATCTCAAATATGCCTTGCTGACTAGGGACATGCCAGCTGGCTTATAAACCCACGATACAGAACCTCGGGGCATTGCATACACTTCAGGAAGCAAAACGGGCTTTTTATTAGACATGAAAGAAAGAATTGAATTGTTTTGCCTCTCCTTAGCTCGTCTCCTTTGATGAGTATGTCATCCATTGTTCAAAACGGAGTCACCAAGATCATCTAAAAGATGAAATTCCTGAGTAATCTGTAGCCGGACGTTCAGAAGCAAGCTTCGTGTTAAAATGTGTATACTGATTGCACTTACACAGTATTTTATCATTTACGAAATGTCTGAGACTTGATAACACCAGCTGTCACCTCCAACAAGGGTATGATCTCATTTGATCTTAAAATGGGAGAGGTTGGCAATATAATTATTCTAAAATTTACTGATGAGATTTAGAGTGGTCGGTTAAATTATTAAAGCTCTCATTGCTGTAGGTGTCAGAGCTGAGCCCCAAACAATGATCTCCGATGACTTAATCTGGTGCCCTGGCATTGCAAAGTGGAGATGCTGTACCCAAAGGTCACCTTCGTCCTAAGGATGGCTACTGAATATAAGCTCAAAGCCACATTGAATACTATTCAGAAACAAACGGATTTGTGGGATGGCGATGGGGTCCTGAGGGAGCCCGGGGCCTCCATACAGAGGAAGTGGACGGAGCTACACTAAGAGGCGGGACTTCCTGCTCCAGAGCAGCCCCTCGGTGCTCTGGTTGTCTGACGCAGCACGTCACGCATGAACATTTGTCACTTTGGGTCCTGGAACGTTTTTCACTGCATTGCCAAACTGGGCTTTTCTTTTACCTCTGTAAGATGAGAAGATGGGATTAGATGGCTTTTGAGGTTTTTTTTTTTTGGATCCAATTCTTCCTAGCTCTACTTTGCAATTATAGAAAGGCTTAAGTGGTACTAAAGTGGGGAAACGACATTCAAGCTTAAAGGAGAAAAAAGTGCAGATCTAGTAAACAACTATTATTTACTGGGAGCTGTTCATATATTACCTCATTTAATCATTGAACAACCCTCTAAGGTAAATACTATTGTCACCATTTTATTTTATTTTATTTTATTAAAAATTATGGGGGTGACATTGATTAAGAAAATCAAATACGTTTCAAGTGTATCATTCTACAATAAGTCATATATATATTGCATTGCGTGTTCACCACTCGGAGTTAAATTTCCTTCCACCACCAAATGTTTGACCCCTTTTACCCTGACCTACTCTTCCTCTCCCTTTCCCTCTGGTAACCACGAAAACATGGAACACTTCACGAAATTGCTTATCGTCCTTGCACAGGGGTCATGCTAATCTCTGTACCGTTCTGATTTTAGTATACGTGCTGCCGAAGCGAGCACCTATTGTCGCCGTTTTAAACACGCAGGATTTGAGTCTGATACAAGTTAAGAAATTTGTTTATTCCACTCAGTGGACGTTTGGGGATCTGCCCAAGGCCTGGGCTCTTCTCATTATATCACACTAGTTCCCCGTGACAGCTCTGCCTTGAATTTCCTGGTCTCTGTTAGAAAGACCCTCAAACCTTAAACTCTATTATCTAGCTTACGATGGCTCTCTTCTCATAACTTGCCTCCCAGTGAAGGCACTTTATTACTGGCTATATTCTCAAACCCATTTTTTCTTTCCAACCACTACAATTTTCACAAGCAGAGGGGCGTTGTTAACTCAAGTTTTCCTCGCTAGACTTGACGTTGGCTGATTGCATTTTGCTGACATGCACTCCTCCTGCTGTGTTGCTGAGACAGTCCCCTATCATTTCTGCATCCCAAACTGGCAGGGTGTGTGGCTTTGCAGCATCTTTTTTTTCCACTCCAGAAAGAATAGGATAGAACTGCTTTATGGATGAAAATAAGAGTCTCATATAATGAGAAATCCAAATTATTGCTTTCCTACATGGAAGAGAAGAAAAACTTATGAATTGTTCTTTCAGTCTTCCCTCCCTCTATCCTGTTTTTCCCATTCCTCTCTTTTCCTTATCTTTTTTTGAGTGTATATCATTTGAAAAGCACAGTTCTATAAGCATGATGAAAAAGTATATAAATATTGAAAGACTTGTTCATGGTTCTCCAAAGGCCCATTCTGTGGGTTTAAATACGGCATTTAAATATGGAGTGACTTAAAACTTTTCAACAAATTACTGGAAATTTTTGCATCCGATTCACCAGTCACCTACTGGAGCTTTTAGAATCGAAGGCACAGGTGACTCGAGAGGAAATGGCCTCTGGCCATGGGGCCTAAGGAAGAGACCAAGCTGAGAGAGGGAGCCATGGCAGAGGTGAGGGCTGGGCTCTGGAGCGGAGAAGCGCTTTGGAGAGAAGACTTAGAGAACTCTGGGGATTGTTGAGCACAAAGGGTGAGATGAATGATGAAGGTGTTTGGTTTCAAAAGCAAAGCTTGCCCTTTCCCAGTTTGGTATGGAACCAACACAAGGACTGTGCAGGTGTCTGCAACCAGGAGAGAACTGGATATCATGACTATGAGATAATAGAAAATATATGTGTGTGTGTGTGTGTGTGTGTATGTCTCTGTCCCCATTTCCTGGCTCAGCTCCTAAAAGTCCTGTCATGTCGTAAGCGATAAGAGCACTAGGAGCATCTTTTGTTCTAATATTTGGTATTTGATCCCAGTTCTTGACACAGTGTTCCTAACTTCTTTAGAATTTCTTGGGTGACAGCAGTGTTTTTTGTTCTAATGAGGTGACTCTGGATGGATAAGGGCTGGTCACCAGAAACACAAAGCTCTGATAAGAAGCTTGGACTTTTCAATTCCCCTTTCCCATTCTCCAAAGAGGGAAGAGGAGATGGAAATGAGTCAATAACTGATCATGCCTATGCGATGAAGCCTCCATAAAATCCCACAAGCAGGGGTTTCGAAGAGTTTCCAGATTGGTGAACATATGGCAGTGCTGGGAAAGTGGCACCCCCAGAAAGGGCATGGAAGCTCCGTGCCCCTTCACGCATACCTTACCCTATGAATCTCTTCCATCGGGATGTTCTTCTGTATTTTCATCATACCTTTTATAATAAACTGGCAGACAGTAAGTAAACAGTCTTCCCGAGTTCTAAGAGCCACTCTAGCAAATTAATTGAACCCGAGTAGGGGATCATGGGAATCTACAATGTATACCTGATCCAACAGAAGCACAGGTGACAACCTGGGCCTACAATTGGCATCTGAAGGGGGACAGGAAGTCTTGTAGGACTGAGGCCTTAACCTGTAGGATCTGATGTTCTCTCTGGGTAGATAGTGTCAGAATTAAATTAAATCGGAGGACACCCAGCTGGTGTCACAGAATAGCTGGGTGTGGGGAAAACCCCAAACATCTGGTGTCAGAAGAGTTGTAAGTGTGGCAGTAGTGTGAGAGCAATGGAGAAACACAGGAGAAAGGCTGAGTTTTTCCCAAATCAATGACCTAGAATAGAGTAGAGGGTAATATTTGTGGAAGAAAACCTTTCCGAGTAGTGAATGGTTGATGTGTAATGGTTAAGAGATACTAAGACACAAGAAGCCTGTCTTAGATGAATGATGTGGCCTAAAGGGGATCTCAGTGTCCTTTAGTCCTTGCAATTAGGTCCGGGGATCCCCTGAATTAAAATCCAGTTGACTTCATTCTGGTCCTACTAATGATCTGTGATCAAGCTGAAGGTGCTAGCTGTCCTAGGACACATAGAGGCCACTTTGTCTCCCTCGTGAATCAGGCGATCTTCGCAAGGCAATGGTACTTTTAAGGTAATGAGTAGGTAATGTCATGAGGCGGCAGTAAGCTGAGGAAGGACAGCCAGAAGTGGCTGCGGATATAGGCGGGGATGGGCTGTGAAAGCTCCTTTTAGGCATTCACTCGTCAACAAACATTTATGCAGTGCCCACCACGTGAGTCATCGATTTAAACACTTTGCTGCTTTTGAGCAAACCTTATCTTTTCTGTCTCAATTCACAACTAGAGCGTAGGGGCTTTAGGACAAAAAGAAAGACATGGGGAGTCCGCACAAAACTGACTGCACACAAGCACAGAATTTTCAGAGCGCCATTCTTTTGGTCCGCATTCGTTGAGATCTATTCCGGTCAGGTATCATGCTAAGCACTGTAAGAAAAAACAAAGATGAATAAAACATACTCTTCGTCCTTGAGGATCTCACAGCCTAGTGGATAAGGCAAACGAATAAGGAAAGAAGAACAACATAAAATGATACATTTTGAAATAGAGAGGTAGAGAATGAGCTTGGGAGAAATCATGGCTGCCGGGCAAGAAGTAGGAATCTAGGATTCTGTCTGGAGCTTGGCAACTGACAGCCAGGACCTGAGAGCAATGTCTGGAACGGAGGGGGACCTGTAACCTGGCCAGGAGGGGAGAGGGGTTGTGAGCAGTACGGTGGGGATTCAGGGACCACTGAGCAAAGCGTTAGGCCTTTCTAGTTTTGGGTGTTTTATTTTGTTTGATATAGTGAAGAGTCAGCCATTTAAACATAGTGTCATAGCGTTTAAAAAAATCACAACCCCCAGAAAGATTAAGTGACTTACAGCCATTCGGTCAGAGACCGCCAGAACCAAATGACAGCCACCAGTCAGACTGTCTTCAGACTGCTAACAGAAACCATTCGAAGGCAGGTCAATGAGGGTTGTAAACTCACCAGCCCTTATTTCTGTAAGGGTCTGCCTGTTTTAAATGTTCTCCTAGTGCTTAATAAATGTTTACTATTAGTAGTAATAATAATATCTAAACAAAATTCCTGCATCATGCGATAGCTGCTGTACCAATTACAATCTTCCTCTTATCTAAACCCCGAGTTCTTCTGTGTCAACCAGGCAATCAATTGAAATGTGATTTGAGGAGACAGGGGAGTAAGTTCTATGCCCTTGTGTGGAGGGGACCCTCTGGGGGCAGAGGACAGACCAAGGTGAGAAGGAGCGACAGAGCATTTCTGGTATGGCAAACAAAGTCTTTACAAAACTTGGTCCACTGAGATCCACTGCTTTCTTTTTCTCAGCTGTAGAATTGACCCAGTTGGGTGGAAAGATGCATTTACTTCCTAGGAAACAAGAACATGTTTCTGGAGGTTGACTAATGTCTTACTTTTTTGCTCTGAAAACCCCCGTGTAACCCACACTCATTAAGTGAGGCTTCCATCATACACCCCAAGCAAATGAATTTGACTTAAGATTTTAATAGCTATGAAAATGCAATTATCTGGAATTAACATTTGGGACATATATGACCTTCACCCCACAGACACCTTTTTCTAAATTGTCTAGATAATGCCGTTCTGGGTAATTTTGGCGGAGGAAAATACAACCATTAGGGTAAACCAAATGGTTGGCCTACCTCTGCTTTTCCACAGGAAGTCAAGGCCATCCATGAAGTTCAATGTCAGAGCCTGGCAGAAAACTCTGCTGGCAGCTGGTGCTTAATAAATGCTGATTCACTAGAATGGCACTGCTTTCCTGCCAGTGTCTGAGAGAATAAGTCCTTCTTGCTCAGATGAGCCATTCTAAACAGTTGTGTCGGTCACATGGAACCATTTTAGCAGTAAATCTTATTGAATTTCTACTAAGTTCAAGAAACTAGGATGTATGCTAAAAGGTTAATAGGAGAGAGTTCCTACGTTTTAGGAGTCTACATACTAGACTTAGAAATATAAAAAGTTAATAAACTTCACAAATAATTAAATGCTAAGATACTTGAACACGTTAACTGCGTAATAAACGATAAGGTGGTAAATGCTATGAAAAAAATGTCAGGTGGGAGGGGCTGGATTGACGTTTTAAATCCTGGGGGACGAGAAGCGGTCAGGGTAGGCTTTCTTTAAAAGGTGATAGCTGAGCAAGAACTTGAAAGAAGTGGGAAAGATGGCCATGAGGATGTGGCAGACAGCGTCCCAGTTAGAAGGGACAGCCAGGGAACAGATCTAAGCAAAGCTCTAGGAGGAGGCGGGTGCAACTGGAGCAAGGGAGGAAGAAGAGCAGGCGAGGTCCACAAGGAAACTGGAGATTGTGTAGGGCCCTGGAGGCAAATGTAAGGACCTCGGCTTTTGCTCTGTGTGAAATGAGGAGCTGTCGCGGGAATTTCAAGAAAAAGAGGATGCGACCTTAAGTTCTGAAAAGGTGCTTCGGGCTGTTGTGTTGAGGATGGACCCTGGGAAGGCAGAGGTGAGGCATGGCCACCTGTTAGGCAGCATTGCCGGGATCCAGGGGAAATAACGTGCTAATGGCTTGGAACAGAGGCAGTAACGGAGATGGCGAGACGTGGTCAGGTAACGGATACACTTTGCAGGTTGCGTGTGATCGGGTTTCAGTGTGCAGTGGGTGGCCTCAGCATGTATGATTTGAGAAGGACTTCAAGGAT